TCATCTTCAATACTAAAATCTTTATAAATAACTATGATATTCCTGAAGTTTTGGCATTTAAGGAGAGGTAATGTTATTGTTTTTAGTATGTTTTTTTTTTAAAATTTTTTATTATGTATCAACATTTTTATTTTTACTTAAATTTAATATTTGAAAGTTTTTTTTTTTATTTTTTCAATGAATTCTATTGTTGGATTTTTTTGTGTATTAAGGCCTCAATACATTATATATGTATTTTAATAATATTTTATTAATTACTTCTTTATTAATATATTAATTTTTATTAAAATTTTATTTTTTTTTTTCATTTCGCGGCCCGGGCGATGCCCGGGGTATTAACTAGTTTGTATAAAAAACGAAGTGGCACCAAATTTGATTTCAATGAATACAAAATAATATCAACACATCCACATTTAAAGTTAGCACTCTTTCACTATTCATAACATTCATTACCTTGTAAACCGCTCCAAATCCTCCTTGTCCAAGTTTATTTTCGTCACTGAAGTTATTAGTAGCTGCCCTGACGGTGGCAAAGTCATATTGCAATGATTCGGCCTTAATCACTTCTTCTTTATCTGCAACTGCCATGAACAACAGACAAGAGTAAGATTAATCACATTCTCCAGTGGAAGTGGATTTCAACACACGTCACTTACTTTCAATAGTTTCCTTTGGCTTTCTGCGTCTTAAAAATATCCAAATACAGAGGACAAGCAACAGAACGCCTACAATTGAAGCAACCACTGAAATTATGATCGTTCGAGTTGTGTTGTTTCCATTCCCTGCAAAACCCAAAAATTTTGACCCAATCACTGCTTGATAGCTCCAAATCTAACGGGCACCACAAACAAAATTGAAATTGAAACTAGTTTTTAAAGAAGAAGCTGAAATGTTAATTGTAATGCCCCAAATTCCATTTCAAGAAGAGAAGTTGTGCACTGAGATGGCATTTCAGCACTTGAACTTTCTGATAAAGAGAGATTAAGTGTGCTCCTAAAATCAGAAGGCCCTATTGATGTGATGGTTTATATTTTGCAGTTTCATGCAGTACTAAAGCTAAAGTTAAATGGATAACATTAAAGATAAAATGGGAAAGAAGTAAATAGCTACTTTACCTTCCGTTGAAGGAGGTGGAGGTGAAGACGGTTGAGGAATATCATCTACAGCTTCAAAAAATGGACTAGTTTCATATCTCAAGTTACAGCTAGGTTGCAGAATTCTGCATCCAGTCCTCGCAATTGAGAAACTCCCGATCCTTCCGATGGCTGTTGCCAGACAATCGCTGCACTCTGACTGGGACAGATCCGGAGTGCACTGCACTAGGGCATAAATTCTTGTAAAGACATCCAGACCCATCGTGCTATTTGCCGCATACTTGCGAAGAGCGCCTTCGGCTGCTGCACGGCTGCTTAAATTACTCAACAAGGAACTTAATGCCTGGTTAAAGGCATTAACATCTGATACATTGCCACTAACCAGTATCTTGAAAGGATCTGTTTCCATGACTCCGTATATTGCTTGGCTCGAGTAGTGTAAGGTACAGAATTCCGACCATCCGATTGCTTCTTTGTAGTTGGGACAGCGCTGCTGGAGCTCGGAGATTGTGTCGTTCAGGCAACGTCTGCAAGTGTCCTCCTTTTTGTCTGCCCTGCAGAGTCCGATTGCGTTGACCTGGTCAGTGCTCTCACCGATGGAAATGTTATAGAACCCATAATTGAAAACCTCATCGGAGGTGAGTTGAGAGAAGAGACTATCGAGGTTGGTTCCGTAGGTACTGTTGGCGCTGAAGTTGCCATTGTTAGCACAGTCAAACTGAAAGTAGGGATCGGCTGCAAAACTGACATTTATGAGAAAAACAGAGAAAAGCAAGGTCAGTATTGAAGATCCCATATGCAAATTGAAGATATATGATGTTATTCATGAACAGATCGGTTGCACTAAAATTCTTAAATTGAAACCATATATTTAAGGTTGATTTAATATGAACAGATGAAGACGGAACTGGTTCATGATAAAGCCGCCTTATATGAACCATATCATGGTATGGATCAGCCCACCGGAATTGAATACCTTTGCCTCTCACCATATTAAAAAAGTAAATTGGTATCGCTGGACACTCTATGTTGAACAAATCTAATTAAAACCGTTGAAAACTGTTCTCCGCTGTCCGTTGAGATTAAATTTTTATGTAATAATATGTAGGTATAAATTCACGATTTATATTCACATTATAAAAGTTTTGTGCAATTTGTAC